GAGGAAGAGGTCCCCGAGGAGCCTGTGCTCAGTGCATGTGCGTGCAGAGCAGCTCGAAGGAAAGAGCAGCTGCAACAGCATGGGCGACTAGGGAGTAAGGCTGCAAGGGGATGGCCCCTCCCTTAAGGGATAAAAGCCAGACTGAGAGACCGGGTGTCATGCTCCTGGTGGAGACTGACTCTGAGGAAGAGGAGGAACAGCTGACAGGGAGAGGAAGTGTGGCTCCAGAGGTTGTGGAGGAGGCTGGGGGAAGGGCAGAGGCCGGCTGGGCAGTCAGAGGAAGACCCAGGCCCATCCCCTCTCCATCCTAGGGCACGCAGGGAGGAGAGGATAAGGGAGCAACATGAATGGCATGGTCTACTGGGGAGGAAGAGGCCTTGATCCCCTTCGTGGGCTGCAGATGTGACAACTGAATAAGAGGGCGGACATGCGTATTGGCAAATTCTGGAAACAAAGCATGGAAATATCTCTAGTTTATGGTTCCTCTCCGAGTTTGACATCCTTCCCAGTGTGTGTTATCTGTAAATATCCTCCAGCACTTATCTTGCCTGGTTTGTGTTGCTTTTTCCCTTCTTCTTATAACTTTTTGTGTGGGAGTTTTTTTTTGTCTTCCGTCAAAGATATTCGGAGCTTGAAAACAAACTGAAGGAATAAAAGGGGCTTCACCTGTTTTCTGTGACTGTGTTTGTTTTGTATCCCACCCTGGGTTATCACACCGGGATTCTTTGCAAAGAAGTTCTTGCACTCAAGCCTTGTGGATGTTTGGACTCTCTTGGTTGGCGTTTGGAGACTCTTTGGGTTTGAAATATTTCTTAGTAACTTCATCTAGTGTTCTTGGCAGCCTTGCACCACCTAGGCAAGGCTCGTTCTTATCAGAGACAATTAGTTTGAAACAGCCTTTTAACCGAGAAGGAAGGGAATACGTAAAGAATCATTAAAAGGCTTTGCTTTTTATCTTTGTTTGGTGTTTGTTTACTTGGAACAAGGTTTGGGTCAGAACACCTTTTTTGCCACTGTTGTTAAGTGAATCCCTGCAAGTTATGAAGTTAGCAACCTGGATGTTAAGTGAATCTAGCTTCCCTCATCGACTATGGGGCTCGCCTGACTCCTCCGGGATGTTGCGACCATCGTAAAGATGAGTCTGTGGTCATCGCGCCCAAATCTGGATCACGCAATATGGGGGTACAGCAAATGGTCGTAAGGATGAAAACCAATTATAAGTATATTATTTCACTGCTGTTTTAAGTTTGAATGTTCATTAAGTGAACTGTTGTAAGTCGAGGACTACCTGTAGTAGAGGATATTTGTAAGTCGGGGCGGGGGTGGGGTGTTGAATTGTGTTCTATCTCAGCTTGGTCCAGACATCTCAGGACCCAACTAGGTGACATCATCAGTGCAGGATGATGTTCAATTCAATTTCCATTTATTGCAGTTTATTATAGACCAGAGACCAGAACAAATAAAAACACTCCATGAGCATCCAATTAAAAATTCTAGAAAAAAATAAATAAATACGAGATAAAAATTATGTTAAAATCCAGTCTGTGAATTACACGCAGCCTGTAATCTTCTCCATTGTCCCCACCACTCTCTGTAGGGACTTTCTATCTGAGGCAGTGCAGCCACCAAACCAAACAGGGATGCAGTTTGTTAAAACACTCTCAATTCTGTTTTTATTAAAAGTGGCCAGGACAGAAGGGAGAAAGGTGTGCTCTCCTCATCCAGTGCAGGAAGTACTACTACCCAGAATCTAGCCACCTGGGATGACGTTCATCGCACTGATGTTAATACCCAGTCGGGTCATGAGATGTCCGCCAATCCACCACTGAGCTCAGAGACACCACAAATTTGCTTTGGTTCCAGTTTGCCAATGGAAAAGAATCGATTCAGTTCTGGATGCAAATCCATCGGTTAGACCTGCGAACAAACTGGGTTTGCCTTGGTTCCTTAATGGCGGTCGATGGTGGCTAAGCAAGGCTCGGAAAGACGGAAGTGGGCTGGAGATAGATTTCTCCAGGTGTGGGGAACAGCTTTCCCAGGGATGGAAGCAAAGATGGTCTTCGGCAGGTTCTGACCAGTTCTGGGGAACCGGTAGCGGAAATTTTGAGGAGTTGGGAGAACCGGCCAATGCCACCTCGGACCGGAGATTTTATAGTCTCCTTCCCCTGCTACGCCCACCAAGCCATGCCCACAGAACCAGGATTAAAAAAATGGAATCCCAACACTGGATAGCAACCCCCATCAGAGAGCTGGTAGAAACCATCTACAGTTTAGGGGCCTGGAAAATTCTTTCTCGCTCAGATCTTGGGTGCTTTGGGCTGATTGGCAACCACTAAGAGACTAACAGAGGTGGAAGGGACCTTGTAGGTCATCTAGTTCAACCCCTCGAGCACGCAGGAGACCCTTCGCCATTCCTGTCCAATCTCTTCTTGAAAGCCTCCCCCAGGGATGAAACTCCTACAACTTCTCTTCCATGGGTTGATTGTTCTCCCCGTCAGAAAATGTCTCCTTATTTCTCAGGTTGAACCTCTCCTGGATCAGTTTCCATCCATTCTTCCTTGTCCGGCCTTCGGGGGCTTTGGAGAATAGCTTGACCCCTTCCTCCTCCTCTCTGGGGCAGCCCCTCCTCAAATATTGGAAGACTGCTCTCCTGTCTCCCCTGGTCCTTCTCTTCCCTAGACTAGCCAGGCCCAGTTCATCGTATGCTTTAGCCTCTTTCTTTCTTTCTTTCTTTCTTTCTTTCTTTCTTTCTTTCTTTCT